GTTTTCCCTAATCTGGACAGGGAAGGAGGAACAAAGCCCAGGACGATGAGCTGAGAACAATCTGGAACATGATCATATCAAATCTCTTTTAATATGGTCGACATTTTAAGTTGATTTTCTCTTTTTTTCTGTCACTTCTGGCAGGTTCAGTCCTGTTTTTAGCTCATTCTTCTTCATCAGATAACTCAAGCTGGCTCAGATTACATCAAGAGAATCTATAAACATAAATGTTCCCGCCTTGACTCATTTTGAGAACTAGGCCATTCTAGAAATAAAAAAATGCCTACATCCCTCTTTTTCCCCATAGCATGATGCTGCCACCACCACATTTTGCCTTGGTGTTGTTCAGGATAATTGTCGGTGTTATTTTTGTATGTAGGCCAAACAGTTTTGACTGTTGGTTATAGAGAAATATACAGTTTAAGCCCCAAGTTATTAATACAACTGGAAAATTTAGATTTTGAATTATTTTTATTCAACCAAAGAGTTTGTGATATAAAATATGACAGGCATAAGAAATGAGTTTAAATTTAGAAAAATAACTGACATTTTTTCTGTTTAAATGAAATGCCATGTTGAAATAGATTTTTTTCTCTTGAATTTTTGATTATTTTTGATAATAGGCTCCAGGTCTCTGAGGTTGGAAGGCCTCCCTGCCATCACCCTAATCTGCCTCCACCTGCTCTCTTTCAGGTTTAAGTCGAGTCTCTCCAGTCAAAAGGAAGAAGCTGGTAAAATTAAAAACACTTTCATTTAAAAGGTCAAACTACAAGGCTGAACTCGTACTGTAATCCCTCAAAAATGAAAACAGATGTAAGAGGAAAAGTTTAGTTTCTTCTTTTTAACCTCTCCATCTTGTTTGTTTTTGGCATGCAGGCGTGTTTGCATACAACTGCACACGTGTGGGCAAGTGGAAAAACAGCTTTAGAAAGCCGGTGGCGGAAGGTGTGAAGCAGACACGTGATGGCTGAGCTGCTGCTGCTGCTGCTGTCATCTGCCGCACGCTGACAACCGTTAGCAATCATCTCCTCCAGGCCTGAACGGAAAAACGACCCATTCCTGGCAACGGAGGAAAGGGGCGGGAAAAGCATCCTGCAAGTCTTGGGGAAGTGTCTACGGCCTGCAGCAGGGTTTTTCTGCTCATCTCAGCAGAACGGCCGACTTTTAAAGGATCGGTTTTGCCAGCATTACTGCCAATTTGCTGAACATTTACACATTCCACTCAGAGGGAAAGCGAACTTCTCTAAGCTTGAAGCAGAACTTTATTTCTCCCTTTAAAAGGAACTGAACTGTGAAAAGGTGTTTGCATAGAAGTTGATGCACTTCCTCGTTTACTGAACACACACGGATGATGTGTGTTCAGGGGATCGGCGTGTTGTCGACCCAGAATGTTAATCATGAAACGTGGCTCAACAGCTCTTAGATCATTTGGGAGCACACTGGGTTTCCAGCAGGATGACAAGACAAGACACAAGACAACATGTAAGCACTGAAAGTTGTTCAGAGGTAACCAACGGTTGGATGTCTAGGATACAATGAGCTACATCACAATCACAGTGCTCACTATCATTACCAAATGGGAAAGGTGTTACAGCAGACCATGCATAGTCAAGCAGTATACTAAAGTCAGAAGAGGCATGTTGTGTATCGTCTTGCGCCACACCGTAGCGACACTGCAAAATGTGCAACATGGGAAACCAGTAAGACGATCTTCGTCGTTTGAGGACTTCTTTGAAGAAAAATCAGGAAATATAAAATACAGACGTTAAAATGTTATCAGGAACAACATTGAGAGGAACAAGCTTCAGATTCTTCCCTAAACTTAGCAACCACGAACAGGAGCACTTGGTTTGCATACTTTAGATCAACATTAGATTATTTTTCTCTTTTTTTTCCTCTTTCCTTTGGTTTGTTATTTTTGTTTGTATTTCTTTTTAATTCCTGTAAAGCACTTTATATTGCTTTGTTGCTGAAAATGTGCCATATAAATAAAATTACATTTACATTTAAACAGCCATTCCATTATTCTCTTGAAAATTGTAGTGAAACATTTAACAAAGAGAATCAAATAAGACAGAAGATGTATCCCTCAGGAGATGATACAGTTCCAGATTAAAGTCAGCCTAATAAAGCTTAGAGTGTCAGTCTGCGGACATTCACAGCAGGTGCTCGGTTAAAATCAAATGCAAATATAGTAAACTGATGTTAAACTATGGTTGTACCTTCATCCAGGAACAGAGTGGTAGCTGGGGTCCCAATGAAACCACAGGTTTCAGATAAAACTCTGGCAGTTAGATTATGACTGACCAATTACTGATACCAGATCATAATAAAGCAGCTAGTAGTGAAGCAGCACAACTACCAGGTGGTTAACAGTGGATTCAGGTAGCGGTAACGCATTTTTCCACTTTTCCGGACTCAAATTGTAGTGTTCCCTTCCCTTGCCCCCATTCCAACCTTTTTGGAAATCTTGAGGACTTTTGGGGACTGGAGGAAAAAAGACTTACCTCAAAAGATTGGAAAGCAGGTAGATTTTATTATCTGGATTTATCACCAATCATGAGAAAACTCCATGATTCAGCAGAGTAGTAAAAGGTTGTTCCCTTTTTTTCCCCCTGGGGCCGTAATGCTTAGACTTGTCAAAGTAAGATTGTTTTTTTCAAGCACAGTTTGTGAGCTCTGATTCACCGATTAGGCCTTTCCTGGTTCACACTGATTTTCTTTAGCGATGATCTATCGACTCTGTTTTGGAGCAACTCAAGGTTTGATTTTTTTTTTTTTTTTCCAATTTATTCCAAGGACCGAATCATAAAAAGGAGAAACTTGATTGTGGTAGCAGCTTTAAATCTGTTAGAATTACAAGCTCATCTCTATCATCACATGAAGCTGCAGACCTTGTTTACTTTATTGAACTTAAAAACTGTGCATCAACGTAGGCGTTCATGTATGACGCATTTATAGAGCTATACGTTTTTATGCACTGAATAAAAAGGATGGGTGACATGAGGTTAAAATCTTAGAGTATTTTGTGGTATTTGTAATGGTAATGAAAAAAGTGATAAAAAACCATTTACAGTCTTTCTTTAAGCAGCTGTATAGCTGTGACTGCATTTAACTGAAACTGAAGTCCCACAAATATAAACAAAGTTTTCAGGTGAAAAAAAAAATAGTATTTGCCAAAACTGGATTTGGCAAGTCGGGCTCTTAAATGACTGGTGATCGGCCAAAAAACTGCAACCTGTGCACCGTTAATACTTACTGACACTTTACTGGAATCAACATTGGAGAAAACTGCAAAAATGGTACAACTAACAATGCAGACAGTTTTGGGTTGTTTTTGTTGTTGTTAAAATTAATTGGAGTCTATTTTTGGCATTATTTGGACTATCAAGTATGTAATATTCAATTTCAATTTTACTTTATACCAGTTTGTGTGTGTTTTAATGGATCTTGTTGGTAACTGAATTACTTTTGACCAAGATCAACAACAGGTCCAGTTGAAACTGCATCTTTCTGTTCATTCTGGAACTTTCTCAAGCATCTTGTAGAAAGTACCTTAAAACTGACTATAAAATTGAGTTATTTTTAAATCGAATCTTTTCCACTGATTGTTTCTAACACTAAATGCCTTTTAGCACAAATTAGAGTGCTGAGAAAGTCTAAAAGTTTTATAAGAGTACAGTAATGAACGTATTTTAATTCTGCATTAAAACTGTTATTGGCTGACTACATCCAGCGAGTCCAGCTGTCACAGAAACCACAGAGGAAACACATTTCCTAGAAGGATGCAGCGATCCGCTTCCTCCAAGTCTCCATATTGTTCAGCATTCTTTACAATTTATTTCAGCGGAATGTGACCGGACACACAAAACTGCTCGTAAGGTGTCTATCACCTCATACTGACACACAAAATATGCAACAGTGGAGTAATTCCGACTGCAGAGTAACAAAAGTACTTGTTGACATTTAAGAAAACAAAATGTCTCACCTTTATTTTATCTGTCATGGAAAACTTCAGCTCGTGGACGAACGGGTTTCTGTCAGTTCCCGCAGGCGGACTGCTGGAAGTCTTCATTGTTGTACGGTCTAGTATATATATCTATTTGAAAGGAAACTTCGGTCCTGAATTTCTCGAAACGCAGCGGAGAGCTTCAACCCGCCTGCTGTGGCCGAAAATGATGCTGTCTGAGCGGAGAGCAGGGAGGATTCAGTCCGCCTCTAGCAAGTTATGCGGCGTTACCCACGCTTCCGGTTTGACTTCTTCCAAAATAAAAGCATCGGGTTTGCGTCTTAGGATCTTGGGGGGGTGGGGGGGGAATCACTATCAGTGGCGGCTGAAAAACAATTAATCTGAATATAATATCAGTTGTATTTTCAGTTGTACTGTAAGGAGTTGCAAGTTTTTTTTTGTTTTGCTTTTATGTTTATACAAAAGAAACACCAACACTAGGCTAAAGTCTACAGAGAATTTAATATAATATTAATAGCAATGCAATGTAATAAATATGACAGTGGGGAAATTTAGGTGTGCCAACAGCAAGTTATAAGTAAACAGAAGAATCTGTTTTCAAAACTAAGGTACAAATATAAAATCAGTAAACAGGAATTGGACGGACTTTAAGGGCAAATTTACAACAAAGGAAAAATACTTTACCGCTATTAAAAATAGTACACTCAAATGAAAATGTGTAACTGAGTAAAACTATTTTAAAAATGTATGCGTCAAAAGCAGCAACAGGCTACAATAACTTTAAAACGACTGCAAATATCAGTCTGCTTTTATTTTGAAAGTAACAAGAAAAGACCATAATCAAAATAAAAACTCTGTTAACAACTTGTAGATGGCATTATTAAAATTGCATGACCTAGATGCACTTACTGCTCTGCTCTTAATCTTCTCATTAGGAAGAAAAGTTTTAAAATCCTGATTGTGTGGATTAATAATTAATCATTCTTAAGTAGCATAATGTCAGAAAGTGCTTGAGAGGTGTTTTGTTTTTTCTTTTTCCTTTTGCTGCTCACACTAAATGATTAAATGCACTGTTAAGGCACACACACCTACATTTAGTTATTTCCACATTATAACATTAACTTTACTAGTTTTTATCTCTTTTATGTTTACTGTCCTCCTGCTGGAGCTAATTGTGTTTTTTATAGTCACTTTAATTATTATTTCTTACATTTTCTATCTCTTTCAACCAGTTTCAGTCGGTTTCCATTTGGAAAAGTCCAAATGTATCTTAAGCTGACGTAGATACTCATTCATGGTGGGATTGGGTCTCAACTCGCTGTGTTAGCTTGCTGTCAGAGTTGATCATGTTGAATTTTGACGGATTGCAGTTTTTCCTTTGGGTGAAAAGCTTTTTGATATGATTTCATTATTGTTGCCTTGCAGGCTGAGCGTGGGAATTATGCATCATGTTTCCAAGCTCCAGACAAGAGATAAGATTTGCGCAGGAAAGAAACAGACTGCAGGTTCATGTGCAAGGGAACAAGAACTGGCTTAATAATTAAAGTAAACATGTGAATCAGCTATAATCTTCAACCAATAGAAATTAATATTTAAGTAGATTAGAGCTCATCTTTGCAAAGAGTTTCATGATCCTTCATTATGTAATTAATTGGATTGTTACAAATGATATGTATAGTGAGATTCATCAACAATTATTACTTTTCTGCTTAAAAAAATGCAATTAATTCAGTTTAATTTGTTTATAATTGTTCATTATGTTTTAATGAAAAAAGTTACTAAGAGTTATTAAGGTGGCTGCAGGTTGTAATATAATGCCAATTCACTACAGATGTTTACAACATAGAACTTCACAAAAAAAAAGAACCAAAAGAAAAAAAAAATGTACACAGAGACATTAAATATACAGAGGAACTGGTTCATCTGCAGATAAGTTCCCAGCCTGTCGTAAAGTCAATAGGATGACAAACAGTAAACACAGTTAGTTGACAGTAGTAACTCAGCTTTTTACTGCTCCTGCTACTCTCCTGCTACTGGAGAGTAGTAGGAGAAAGAAGCAAGCTGCGGAGAAGTGGTCAGCGTGTCCTCTAGCAGTCTGAGGCTACAGCAACACACCTACAGAGACAAACAGGAAAGTTTGAAGCCTAGAGTTTAAAACAGACGGTGTGTCTGCCTGTGATTTGGTTTCACAGGAGAAGTCGTGGAAAACTGGTAGATCTACTTTCAGAAACCGTTGGAACCAAGAGTAACACTTAAAGTTTATCTGTTGGGGACATATTTAGCAATTTCACCTCTGACATACACTGGAGCTTGTTTATTATTAGCCATAACCTATAGAGCTATTTTTATGTACAGTGAACAGTGTAGACAGCATTTCATAGTTGGAAAAAAAATATGGATCAAGACCATCACAATAAGTGGAGGTTTCTCCACAACTGATTTTAAGATAAAACAGAAAATCGTCATTGAGGCAACAAACAGGCCGTGAAGCAACAACTGAATGAACTGCAGGAATTCCCCAGAGCTGGTGTTGTATTACATGTGACAATAATTTCCAGTATTCGCCCTATTTGGACTCAGTTACTCAAGTTACAAGGCAATAGTCTTTTCTTCCAAAGGTCATGTGAAGGTCTGGCTGAAATCTCCCAAAATCTTGTGGGAGAATGTGGTAACATTTTATAAAGCCAAACTTGAACTTAGACGTCACGTTTTCTAATTAGCTAACGATGTAGCTAATTAGAACTGTTTCCCAACAGTTCTTTTAGAAACTGTTTTCCAACAAAACTATTTGGGATTGGAGCAACACCGCACATTGCCAACAGAACACACCAGACCCAAAGTAAAACATGGTGACAGCATCATCATGATCCAGGGAAGCTTCTTTTTATCTCCAAATGGGGTTTTAGTTAGGGTGGATAAATTCCAAATAGCTGTCAGTGAATCTCCTAGTGTCTGGACAATCATACATCTAAATCAACCGCAGAAGTTTTGGAAACGTCCGAGCCAGAATCTAGAACAAAATCTGACAAAGTCTCTGGATTTACATGAAGAGGACAGTGGACAACACATGTCCAAACAATCTTAGGCCATAAGGCTTTGGAGAACATTGGCATGTTTGAGCGGCACTTATTGCAAAGTCAAGATGTAGAGTACTGATGGGTTCTTAAGAGATGGTACTCTTTTGTTTCTTCACAAATCAATTGATCTAATTCATTTGGGCCAGGAAGGACCTTGTTGGGATTCAATTGCAGGATACTTTTGGTGCAAGGCAAGAGACCTTGAAATTGGGCCTCTGTCTCTTTAAGAAGCTCTTCCCGAAAGTCCGCCTTCAGCACTTCATCACAACGTTTCTCTATCAAGCATTTACAAACGTTTGTCAGAGCATCAGATTGAGAATAGCTCATATGATAAGCAAAGAAGATATGCAGTTCCTCCAGGTGTTAATTGCTGCTGCTGCTAGTTCATTTTACTAACCCAAATGGTTGCCACGGGAGACTCGAGGATTTGCTTTCATTCAAACATGAATGAAAGCATCACATCATCACTCCAGTATCTTTTTTATTGAGGGAATAACATCATAACACGACGTAAAGCTCAAAAAAGCTTTTATGTAACACTGTCCCTTCAACATGAGAGAGTACACTCTAGACGTACCTCACCCCAAATTTGTATCTTGTCTCGCTTTTCAAATGATTAAAAGTGAAAAGCAACTCTGAAACATTAGACAGGTAGAGTATAAAAGCCTGAATCACATGACACCTGCATAAACAGCCGCACACTCGTCCTCTTTAAATGAACATGTTTGCTGTTGTGGGAAAGTGGCTTTTCAAGTCAACCAGAAAGTCTGCCTCACTAACAAGCTGAGGATGTGCACTGTAGATGTTTCCAGGTGATTGGCCCCCATTGAAGTACATTTATCTGATGCTTTGTTTATTCCACATTTGATCTGCCCACTAATTTCAGCTCTCTTTTATTTTCTACAAGACAGCAACTGTCCATGTAAACAGACTTTGTTTGAGCCTCAAAGCCACAGATGGCTGCTATCCTCAGCGGACCGGGTCATCGGCTCCACATCAAAAGTTGGGATCAGTCAGTATTTACAGGTGGAGTCAAACCAGCCTGTTAAAAAAAAAGATATCCTCAACTTGCAAGGCTGTTAATTGGCATCCCACGGGGAATTTTAACGCTTTCTCACTCATTCTAAGGGTTGTAATTTCCCTCATAATGTGGTCTCTAAAAGGCAGCTACTGCTGTGTGTTCGTATATAACGCTATTCATACGACTATTTTATTGTTCTGTGTTCCTCCATCAGGAAATAGTAACCTTTTGGTAGCTCATTCAAGCAGAGCCATGTGTACTGTCGTTGTTTGTCACCAAACATCTTGTAACCAGCTGGGTTAGCTCAACCTGACTGCTGGTAGGGTGAGGTAGGTTCAATGCCATTCAGTGTACACCAACTGGCAGTGGGTGTAGCTACGATATTTCAGGAAAAAGAAATGATTTATTACATTACTATAACAAAAGAAAATAAATTCAAGAGGAAAGAGAGTAAAAGAAAGACCGTCTTTTTTTTTTTTTTTTTTTGCGCCCCCTTCACTTTCGTCCTAGGTTGCTATGTAAGCGACTTTGGCACCCCCTTGTGGATTAACAGTGACATAAACCATTGTAAAAAAAAAAAACTTGTCCCTTACGCATTTCTTCTTTAAGCTTTAAGTATATTAAAGCTGCAACATTTAACTTTTATATAACTTTTTAATATATATATTTGTTGAAACTGTCACTATGACAGATAATCTGTGAATAATTGGAGCAACCTTTTCTCAATGCTAACTGGAAACAACCAATCAGAGCCGGGAGGCGGGTATTAGTGCTGTCAGTCATGCTGGCGCTTCTCTCCCTCCTCGTGAATGAAAAAACAAAAAACAAAAAAAACTTTAAAAAGTGCTTTATGAAGCCATGAAAATGTTCAGAAGTGAAACACTGAAGTATGGGGGAGAGGGGAACTAAATGGAAGAAATGTCTGAAAGGGCAAATAGTTTCTCAAAGCGTATTTCAAAACTTCTAAGTCTGAAACATAAATTGAAAAATAAGTTCCTTACAGAAAACCTTCCTATTTTCTATTTAATGAGTATTTAGTTTGTTTTCTTCCACAAGGGTTACTCATGTTTACAAAAAGACGTCACATAAATCCCAATGACAATGTCACGACAATTTATTATTACTGCAGTGATTCGGTAAATTCTTTGTACATCTCTCGGCTCT